TCCCTCCTCCCTCCCCCCTCCCTCTCTCTCACTCTCTCTCCCCTTTCCCTCCCTCCCCCTCCCTCCTCTCCCCCCCTCTCCCCTCTCTCCTCTATTCCCTCTCTCCCTCCCTCAGAGCTCGGTGCGGCTGGCCTTGCCAGAGGCGCCACATCCGGTGACGCGGCCCGGTCCCGTGAGCGACTGACTGTGCGATAAACATTCACAGTGGCCCCTGACCACTGATGCATTACTACCCTGAACCCGGTTGTCTCATCCATCAACCCTAAAATATAATGGAAAAATGAAAGTGCATATTTTCCTTTGAGGGACGTGTTAAATTTGCGCACATTGAAGACAGGGTAAGTTAATTATTACCTAATTGAGGATAATTATTTTTCCAGGTTTCGAATCAAGCTCGTTGCGATATTTACTGTTAAAACACACCTTTTTACGTTAACCTATTAGGCATTTGGTCTGCTTGGTCAACGTGGTCTGTTTGTTGGTGTGTGCCAGTGTGAAAGTTTCCGACCGCGGCGGGGTTCGAACCGTCGCCACTCTGTTGTGCCGCAGTTCTCTGGTGGAGCACATCACCACGCTGCACTAACGCCCCCTGGTGCCGTCGGTGTCGATCGGTGATCAGTTATTACCTCCCCACAAAGCGCCCCGTATGGACCCTCCCGGCTAATTCACATCACTGGCCGTCTGAACTAGATGTCTAAAAAAATCCGGTCTATTTTGTAACTTTAGCAAAATTAACTTCAGTCAATTAGCCGCATGGCAGCCAAAGTTTTGCCTTCGACGCTCCGTTTTTTCAGCTGTGGCACGGTAAAAAGTGGTAGCGTTTTACGCTCCCCCCCCCCCCCCAGAAACTCGGGTTGTTGAAGATAGTTTGTCTGTTGGCTATGGAGCAGCTCATTATAATTAATCATAGCTGGGTCATCAAAATTAAATCAAAGCCACTGAGCTGATGCACCTTGTCCCTAATATCCTGTGGTAAGTATATTTGTCCCGTCATTTTTTGGGTCAGGTCAAAGGTCAGGTCGCCAGAGTATTACCGAATACTACAGAGTACTACCGAGAAAGTAAGTACTACCGAGAAAACTGCTGATCATCGATAAATGATTGGCTTGATATAAAAGCTTTGTTGTTTGATTATTTTTCAATGATAGGTATTAGGTATCACGTGTAATTGTATTTCGAAGTTCTGCCTCATTATTAATTTTTTTTGACACATGCGCCCCCCCCCCGTTTTTGTTTCTAGGTGGAGCAGTGTTGAGCACACCATGCTTGACACCGCCGCTCCTCTGCCCGCCCCACGTGGCTGCCTCTGCCCTCCCCGGCTCCATCCCTGGCGCCGCCCCTGCGTCTGACCTGCCCCCGGGCGGTGGCCGGGCGGCCGGAGCGAGGCTGGTCCGGCGCGCGCGCGAGCTTTTGCTACCAGCGGCCGGTGTGGGCGGACGTGCGGCTCCCGGCGCGGTGACTGTTTCTGGAAGGAATTTCGACTACAAGTCGTATAAGGTAAGCACACCGTCATTTTTACTGATTATTAGATCGTTTGATCCTTATCAATTAGCGAGCAGGACGTTGGTGTTACAGATTGGTAGTGCACATTGTTAAAATTCCTAGAATGAGCTAAGAACGCAGAAACTAGAAAGTATACGGTCGGGGTAGCGGTCTAGATGGGCCTAGTTTATTTTTATGCATTTGTGACTGAATTAAAAAGGTTCTGTTTGCTGAACCTTTTTATGCCGAACCAGTATGCAGTATGCTAAAATTGCAGCATGCCGTTAAAGGGACCCTCCCACCTTAACATTAGATTTGAGTTGAGATAGCCAAAATGGGTCCCTGGCTCACAATTACCGGTTTCGGCACTCACAACATCGAGAAATGCCTTAAATCGGAAATATTGAATTTCAAAATTGCAGCATTTTGATTCAGAGGGGCTAATGCTTAGGAATACCCCTCTGAATGTGTGACGTCAGCGCAGATATCTAACGATTTTTAATTGTTTGACTAAAACGTTTTGTAGCACGCGGTGGTATATGCTATTTGCGCGCAACCTCTTGTCGCAAATGCCGCACTTCTAAAATAAAGTCGCTAGAAACAGCGGAGATCCCAAAAAAAGTAAACAAAAGTAAAAGTCTAATATCTTGAAAATCGGTGAATATTTTTCGGTGAAATTTGGTGGATATTCGTTTTCGCTCTTTCTGAACCGAGCGACACCACTTTCATGCCAATTCATAAACTTTTTTGAAGGTGGGAGGGTCCCTTTAAAAGCTTCTGTCTGTTGCATTTCATTAGTTAAAGTTTTTTACCTTTCTACGTTTCATGTGCGATATAATAGAACGGTTGATTTGCTGATTTCCGTGTTTTAATGTAGGTACCGTTTCGCCGACAGAGCAGCATCTGTCAGTTGCGTTGAAGATTGTTACATTTTCCGGTCAACATGGAACTGCCAGCCTGCAGAATCTTCACTGCGCCCTCAAACGTACGCTAATTACATTGTCGTATTCATAAAATTAATAAAATTATTTCAAATATAATACAGTTTGATTTAAGTTGTATCATTTGTTGTTACCTAACAGTAAAGTTAGCCTAATGTGTTGTATGTGTTTTACCTATACCTAATTTTATAAGATTTTTTTTTTATAAATCGTAGATGTATAAGAACTATCCGATTCAATCATTTCTTTTCTCGCTATAAAAACCGTTTTAATTTTATTCAACCCTTGAGTTGGTTAGACTGTCCTCGACTGTTAATCTAATCCAGTTAATTTTTTGTACGTGTCTCCCATGCTTTGTGGAAGAACGACTATTTAATTGGAGTGAATTTAAAGCAACGTCCTGTTTCAGTTTCTCCCACGGACCACAGCTCATGTGCAGCAGTACGTGCGTGCGCCGCCGTTGGTACCGAAATTAGAAACGTCCATCTGCCGGTCAAAACCGAACTACGGCCTACGGAAACTTCAGCTCTTGCGAAAGGTATGACATACACCTATAATTTAGTGAAGTTAATTCACATGAGCCACACTTTAGATATAAGGCCGCAGTGTCCCAAAATTTGCCAGTTTGGGTGGGAAATGACATCCAAATCCAAATAATTTTCCACTCTCACCTCCAACTTTCCAGGGCAACTTTCACTCCCTATTTTACCAATAAAGAGCATCTGCGGGTACCTTTTACCTCCCTCCATTTTCGATTCAATTAGCTTATAAAGGAGCTCCCACATCCTTCAACATTCACAAATACATTGTTGTTCCCTGTTTTCCGCTCTTTTTGTGCCTTTCTGACAGGCATTTTTCCACTCTCAGCCCTCATTCTACATGTAGTGACGAATATTCCCCTCCGACACCCAAGCCGAAATATAATTTTGGGACACTGTATAAGGGCGCCATATGGCCACGGCAGCTGGTGCGCCCTAAAACCACAATCAGCCAACACTTTAGATCTGGGCATGCCATATGGTCATGGCAGTCGGTGCGACCTGTCGCCGACAAACTGTCGTTCGGAGTTCTTTTCTGGTTGGATGTGGACTGTATTTTATTCGGTGAGTTTGTGCGACATTCGTAGCCCGCCCGCCTGCTATGTGAGCTCCTGGGTTTTTGATATTCGGCGATTTACAGTTGTAGATAGACGTGAAGATTTCCCGTAGAGGATTTATTGAAGTATACGCGAAGCAAGAAGCGGAAGCAGTTGTGAAGAAAACCGGTAGATGAAACACGCAGACACGGAGCACAATTCACTTTCGCTGTACAATCTGAAGCACTGACACTGCCCCGCCGGGCGCGGCTGCGCGCAGGAGAGTCGGTCTGCGCGCGTGCTTCTGTGCTCTGTCCCCGCTCAGCCGGGCGAGGCGTCGAGCGGGGCAGATCAGTCCGTGCGCACAGCGCGACGGTCGAAGTGAGACTCTGCCGGGGTCGTACGTGACCCACATTTTATACGCAATGCTTAAGACGTGTGCAAAACGAGTGCGAACTTGCACTGCAGCGGGGAGGTGGCTGAAGGCGCCAGCTTGGCGGCCTACGTGCCTTAAAACGACGTGTCTTTAATTTATATGTCGGTCTCGGTGGCGGCCGCGGCGCTGCTACGGCTCGGCAGCGTCGGCGGCACGCGTACCGACCGCCGGCCGCGTCTGCTCGCGGCCCCGCCCTGCACAATGCCTCACAACTCATCCTGAGTCTGGACGGGGTGACGGCGGTGCGGCGGCGGGACGGCTGCAGCGAGCGGCGGCGGCGCCGCGGTGGCACGGCGGCCGGCCGGCTATCACGGCGGCACAGCGGTAGCGCGGGTTGGTCCGAACACTTTCGTCGGTGACACGACCTTTAACCAAGCGGTCATTAATTGTTTAGTTATTTAGTACACTATGGCCACAATTAACGAACTAAGTACACATTCGATAAGGATTGCATTATGGACAAGGAAATATTAATTTTACGAGCAATTACGAGGTAATATGTAAATTCAAATGAAGTGCAGTTTCTATAGTATGAGCGTCATATATGACCGTAGCAGTTTGCGTGCCCATAAAGCGCCCATAGACAAATGATTACGGTTAGCATTAGGTTCTGTCTGTCTGTCTGTCTGTCTGTCAATAAAGTCAATCTGACAGTCAATTATTCTGTCAATTAAGTTGTGATTCTGCAGAATTCAATGTACTGATTTCCACTGTTGTTTTTATTTCATGCACGCTTGGCAGTTCGCCAGTTGGTGGCACTGCTCCGGCACACCGACCAATGGACGGCGCTTCCAGGGATCCCGTCACAAACTTCACTCGGTGAGTCGGAATACTGGGATGACGTTGGATTTATCGCAGAATTAACAACAACTGTTTAATCTGCTCTGTCCGACTACTTTAAAGTGACCATCCCACCTTAACATTAGTTTTGAGTTGAGATAGCCAAATTGGTGGCCATGGCCTGCAAATACCGGTTTGGGCACTCACAACATTGAAAAATGCTTTATTTTGGAGATATGGAATTACAAACTTGCAGTTTTCGGATTCTAAGGGGCTAATGCATTGGAATGCCCCCTTAGAATTTGTGACGTCAGCGGAGATCTAACGATTTTTAAATCTTAGACTGAAACCATCGTTAACACGTGGTGGTATACACTGCTTTGCTCGCAACGTCTGCCGCACTTCGAGGCTGCCAAATTATTGCTTCCAAATAAGTTGCTAGGAACAGCGGAGATCCCAAAAAGTAGACAAAGGTAAAAGCCTTGAAAACCAGTGAATATTTTTAGGTGAAATTTGGTAGATATTCATTTTTGATCTTTCCGAACCAAGGTACATCACTATTATGCCAATTCATTAGCCTTTTTAAAGATGGGAGGGTCCCTTTAAGATCGATAAAGTACCTAGTATCGTGTCGACATGCGATTTAACTAATGGATTATTCCAGTCGAATGCAGACAACTTTCTTCCGTGTCATTACGAGCCTCGTTATCGTGTGAAGACTGGTTGGGATGAGATGTGGGTACGTCGGCGGATGGATGAACTAATTGTTCGTTTTGTCGCCGACAGGTGGCGCTGGTGTCCAGCTGACAACTGACCGACCGCCCCGACCTGGCGATAGGAGCCCCTCGCAGGTGGGTCATATTTGGGAAGGGCAGGGGCCCCGGAGATGTGTTGACCGTTTACTATAATTGTTTTGATTCAAAAGTGGTTTGGCTCTCAGCACTGCTCTCGGCTATGCACGCGTTTTATATGAAGTAAAAGTAAACCAAGAAAAATGGGGAGAATTGGCCTTGCAAATAAAAAATCACAAATGAATCAGTTCTGATTATTACGATCTGTGCCTGCTGAACTAACTATAAGAAGAGTGATTATGTCATACTGTGCACCTTGCTTTGCAAAGCAATGCATTTATAATCATGGACAGTATCCATTTTAGCTGTCGGACCCAAACAAGTGTACTCAATAAAATTATGACACCTTAGGCCGTCTTAACTCGCGCCCCACTGGGGGGGGGGGGGGGCTATTTATTAACCCTCGCCGGCACAGGCCATTTTGCGTCCTTCGACGGCACAGGGGCCCCTCGCGTTTGGCCCCTGATCGAGCTAGAGCTTCGCGGAAAAAACGAGCGTGCTGCCCGTCACGAGACGAAGCCGATGATACCCAATTTTAAGGTCCTAGGTCATCGGATGACCTTCCAGGTCAGGTCAATGACCCGAAAACCGGGAAAATCGGGACCTGTTAGAAAGTCGTAAATTGTGGCTGCTATGTGGTTTTCCGGGGTGCTGATCACGAATATCGTGTTAGTTTTGATCAGAGATGATGTCTTTAAGCATTTAGACCAGGTCGGGTCAGGTCAGGTCAGGTCAACCGGTAGGAGTTGTGACGGGTATTCGTAATACGTGTCAACCGCCTCTGACAGCTTCGTAACATGTTACGAAGGCACCAAAACTGCTTCGTAAATGTTCAAATGGTTGCCAAATTCGAATTCAGCTCCAGAAACTAGCCTAGAAACATGTAAAACTCGAAAAAGTGAACCGAGGTCACCCGAGGTCACCAAAGGTCAATGACCTGACCTGACCTTCAGGTGACCTTGACACCCACCCTAATGTATGGGAGCGACATCAAATCACATGTTTGAACGTTTGAAACCACAAAAAGCTTGCAAACGCGCGGCTAATGTTAGCCGACATACGCCGAATCGCGATTCCGGCCAAACATGGTCTCGGAAAAGAGGTCACAGGTCAAAGGTCATTGGGGTCAGGGTCATGAAATTTTCAGGGTAGGTGTAAAATTGATCAATGCGAGGGTACTGAAAGTTTCGTCGCGATCGGCCGCTTTTTACGCGAGTTATTCGCGAAAAACCTTAGGGTGGGGTTGCATCAACCTGTGCCGGCGAGTGCCGGCGAGGGTTAAGGTTATTTGTAGCCCCTCCTCTCGTTTTTCTGCAATATCTTCTAAATCGCTGGACGTATCAACACGAAACTTTCAGTACTTTTGGCTGCATCAATTTGAAACTGTGTTTTTAAAAAAAATCGTAGCTACCATAGATCGGCCGGAAGTGACGTCAGAGTGACGTCATCTTCGGCCGATTTGATGCAAAATAATGATCTACGGCAATCGCTCTCAAGAGCTCAATTTGTAAGCTAGATCCAACTTCTTTGCATGGGAGGAATACAAAGGGCTATCAAACTGCGATATTAGATTTTCAAAACTTTGAAAATTCTGAGAATTAAATATATGAAATATAAAACTAAAACGATTTTCAAAAACGTTATGTTTTTAATTTTTTTTTTTACTACAAGTTTTTGACTTTTCAAAAAAAAAACAGCAATGTATGTGATAGAAGACATACCGATGACCTAGTCTCGGAAGTGTAAGCCCGATATATTCATAGATAGCAAAGTTATACACTTTTTAGTGAAAATGTCTATGTACCATTATCAAATTTTCAAATCAATTTTCAGGAAGTTTTTGACATCGTACACCAAAACAAATAGCACTATCGTGTCCCTGAGCTCAAACTGCATCAGATCTCGACTCAAATTGCAAAAAAAAAAAAATAGGTTCCCAGAATGCAGCCACCTCAGCTTCAGCTTGGCATCAGCCAGCCAATCAGCATGCTGCTTACAGCCAATGGGTTTAAACTACGCAATATGATTGGTCAACGCGTAATAAGCGTCTGCGTCAAACAATATTTTTTTATAGAATATAGTTCTTTCTATATTAAAATATAGAAAATAATATTTTCATAAAAAGGTTTTATGTTCTTTGCTGATCATTTTGAGCATAAAAAATCATAAATCCATTGCAAAAAAAACTAATTGCAGGCCGAAAGTGAACTATTTCCTTTAATGACTAATGAGTGTGTACCTAAACCGAAAATGAGCCTGATCTGGGTTAATGCTGGCGGGTGCTAGAATTAGGTATAGGTATTGTTAAGTTAACTATTCTGAGCAATGAAGTTTTGTCGATCAGTTTCCAAGTGCGCAAATCCCGAACAATGGGGGTTGATGCAACCATAGGAGCCCTCGCGATTGGCTCCTATGGCACCTAGAAACACCAAATTCTGTAGGTAGGTGAGATCCCTGAAATTCTCGCCCCTGTGCAAATTTGGTTGCTCTAGGTCAATATTAAGGGTGGTTTTGGGGGGTATACAGGGTGTAACGAAATTATCCGGACATTTTTTCGCCATATCTGCTCGCACAGTTCCTTTTTTAATGTTAGAAGCTGGAAAATTGGATGAATGCATACCTCTGGTATCTGCTCTCAACTCAGCAGTGACCTGACCTTGCGAAATGACTCTTGCTCTGAGTAAGAGTCGAGTCGCCGACGGGTTCATTTGATAGTTTTCGTTTAAGGCAGTGGAGAGAAAGGAGTACAGTCTCTCGTTTCGTAGTAAGGCTACGTGTTGGTGGCATGGTGGCATGAGCCAGAAGCTGGTCTGTCAGCAGCTGGACATCAGCAGCAGCCAGTAGCACATCTGCCTGAGGCGTAATAAGCTGGGACTTGGTGGCAGACTCAGCCCGGCCTCGATCGCAAAAGGCGCCCTTTGCCAAGTGGTGAGGAGAGTTGTCAAGATAGCGACAAGGAAACGGCACCAATTAATCCGCATACTGACTCGAATTCTTACCAAGGTAGATAATAAGAGGTCCCACATCATGATTCACCGTTACCCGCCCTTTAGCTTGGTTTTACTGCCCTTCAAACTGGAAAAGACAAGGAAATTGACGGGAAAACAACCAGTCCACCACCTTTGGCTTCAGGCCAGGGCGTGTTCACTGGTCGAAGGAAGACACGAATGAGGTGACCTGGTCGGATGGGAAGCTGTTCGAGCTGCGATACCCGTTGAACCGTCAAATCGGCCATGTGTGGGCTGCCAGCAGCTCGAATGTGCCGGCCGTCGCCGGCGTCAAACATCCGGCCAAAATCCAGACCTGGAGCATGTTCAGCTGCTGTGTAATATTCAAGCTGTTCATGACGACACAGAAAACCACTATCAGTGACGAGTATTACCGGCGCAACATCCTGGCTAGCGATTGGTTGGAGCCACTCAACCAGACGGCACAGGATGGCTCGGTTTCTGAACGTGTACCGATACCTGATTCAAGCCGCGCAGTCTTCATACGGGGCGGCGCACCACCTTCAAGTCCCTAGCAGAATGAGAAGTGATGCCGAGAGGACCTTTTTGTTCTTCTGGGCTAAAGGGCTATGGCTTGGAAATAGTTCCCATGCAATTCCGTCGATATATTATGGACTGTTGTCCATCAGGAGATGAATGAGGGGACACCCGCCACCAGCGCCGCCCAACTGCGGGCACAGGTTAGTAAGGCGCTACTCTATATAAAACCCACTGTGCTGGAAAATCCAGTGGCTGGATTGCTCCAAAAATGTGTACCTGCGGTCTTATGAAAGGTGGCTATATAATAATTCAAAAGGGAAAATATCAGAATGTCTTGCTTCTTAATTACAGCGCGAAGAAAGATGTCCGGATAATTTCGTTACACCCTGTAAATGTAAAAATTTCGCTTAAAACAGTTCTAAAGTTTTTCGCTTATAACTTTTGATTTAAGTACGATAAAGCAAAAACAAAAGCACCAGTGAACTCTGCACGTCAATGTGCGTCAAATGATATGCTTGCTTAAGTCCTACTTAGAACGTTAAGCACATCTTAAGTACAACTTAAGTCTTAACCCGCGCCGGGCCGGTGCTCCGCGACTTCCGCGCCGGGCCGGGGAATGTCTGAACACCCCCCACCCCCCCCCCCCCGTCAAACTCGGCTCCTGGGCCACGTAGCGACACGCGGTAAGCGGCATTCGAAAGAGCGTCAAAAATAATGACGGAAACACTTCCGTCATTTTTTTGTCAGGTCAAAGGTCAGGTCGCCAGAGGTCATCAAAGGTCAAATATAGTCTATTTCAACAATTTTGGAAACTGTCAACGGCTAACTGGGGAACCAGTAGAGCTACAGCGCCGCGGAAAAGCGCATTCGATAGCCCTTTTACAGACCTTTCTGAGCATTGTTCTCATATTTGACCTCAGGTCAACGGTTTAGCCTCCAGGGACCAGGGGGCAAAAACTGTAAAATAGCAGTTTTCACGAAAATGGTTTTTCGTCAATAACTTTTGACTCAAGAAAGTCACGACATTACTTTTGGACAGCGGCGTATTTCTCTCGTCGAGACGCGTCGAATGAACTATTTGTTGACCTTTCATTTTGAAAATTTGATCTCAGGTCAAAGTCATGACCTGACCGGAAAGGGTCATGTTGCATATCAGTCGATCCGTATCGTCAAGCTGAATACATCTGATATGTTTTCATTGCTCTAGCACGTCTTTATCAAAACTTATAGCCAGAAAACTGCTGGTGACCGTTCATGACGTGAGATGACCTCTGGGGCACACAGAGGGGTCACAGGTGCATTTTTCCAATTTAGTGTGTCATGTTTACCTATGAACCGATGTTTGAGAGGGTTTTGAACATCATTGGTCCAAAAGAGGCGCATTTCAATTTTATCCCATTGACTTATACTAATGGAGAGGTCGCAAACTTGACCTGACCTCAGGTCACCGATATCAAAATTCCGACATATATATTTTGTACATACTGTTACTCTTATCAATCGCTGAAAGTTTCAAGGCGATCGTTCAGTCGGTGTAGCTATGGCGAGGGTTAAATCTTTTTCTGAGGTGAGGTCACTTGACCTGACCTGGTGACCTGACCTTGACAGCCCTGTGTCTGAAATTTTCACAACATTTGTGGAACAGATGCATGAACAGGTGTGCCAAAAACGGCTTTTCTGCGAAAAACTGCAGGGGTGTTCAAACACCCCCGGCCCGGCGCGGGTTAAGAATGGTCGAAATGCCATGCATTTCATTCGACTCGGTTCTTCAAGAGGAACAGAATGACACCATTTTGAAAGCTTTATCCTTATTATGTGACAAGCACAAACGTCATTTGACCTCAGTTGACCTCATTTGACCTGACCCATGGATAAGTACACCAAACAAAGAAACACCAAGTGACATGCTGTTAATTATTGTGGCTTCAAAGCACAAAAGTGATGGAACGAAGCGGATATCTCCAGTGTTTTCCGAATTGAATATCTTCCCATAGGCTTAACATTACGACGTAATGACCTCTAGCTGACCTCAGGTCAGTGACATGAAAAAAAAACTGAATAAATGTTTTACAACTCCAAAATCTCTATGTTTTAAAACTCCAAAGGAGAAGTGAACCAAAATCGAGTTATGTGAACAGTATCCAAATTTATAATTTAATTGGAATTAAATCCACATTTATAATTTAGGTAATTGGAATTTTCCGGCACGGTTGTTATTACTGCTTGATAGAATTCACCCGGCTCTCTGAATCAATGCTTTGTCTTTTCAATAAACATTGGCCAGAATATTAAAGTCGTATAATTTCTAGAGCTATATATGTAATGAGATTTGTGATGGACAAGGGGTGATGGGTTGGGCTATAAAGAGGTATATCATTTGGGAAATCAATTCCTAATGTAAAATAATCTATATTATGAATTATAAGTTGTCCGTGCGTGCGTGCGTGCGTCATGACTTATGTGTCTTATTGCGCCTGAAAGGCGCCGCGTATCGACGTGAAATTTGGCATGCCGAATCTGTGGGCGTGGGCGGCCTTTGCATTAAAATTTGGGCGTGATCGGCCCAGGGGTGCGCCGTCAGCACGCGCTCGCGTGCGCCATAGGGTTAACACGGGAAACGGTCAAATTGACGATCGGGCGAAAACCGGCCTGCGGCGCTTGCTTCCCGGCTGTATAAGTCGGCAACGGAGGGTCGCAGCGAAAAGCGGTTTTCACCACTGGATAGAGGAGAGATGGACCTAGCGTATTGATATGGTTTCATAGTATAGCACGCGCCACGTGCAAGACAGCACCCCCGGTTGTGAAAAAATGACCGATTTCGTGCATTGTGACGGGAAAATCGATGCCGCTGGAAAACGGTTTGACGGAATGAAATCGGTGTGGTACCATTTTGCAGACAAATGTATCTGTAATCAGAGAATAGCAAACAAAAACTGATGATCCGTACCATTTCCTTAAAAATGAAAAATTAATTTGAAAATTTGATTCGCGCGGAGCGCGACGTCCTTTACAACATCAAAACGTATTGAAAACGCTAACCAATGGCTATGAAACCTACATATTCGGAAAGAGCATTCTTTTCTGACCAATATCCACCCAAAATATTATCGAAAAGTCAATAAACTTTTGTGAAAATGACTCAAACATACGACCGTGTTTTGTTAACGTTACAGGTATTTTTCGACAAAATCCGATCGATGGCTTATGGCCGGCAAGTCATTCAACTTTTGACAATAGCTATCAAAGCATGGGCTGCAATGCACCACCCGTAAAGAGGAACTCCAATCACTGAAAATAAGCGCCTACCAGTAAACAGCACATTATTGTACTAAGAATAACTCAGCTGCTACTGGGCCGATTGCACTGAAACTTGGACTGTGGGTGGAGAGGACACTCACCTGGCGATGCATGGTCGTTTGTCACAGGTAGGGTGGATCGATTGCACGTGCGCACGTGAGGAGTCCACTTATACATCTCAAGAACGGCTGGACCGATTTCGCTCAAATTTTGTACACTGTTGGGGACAATTTAGAAAGGTGGCTGGCACAAGTCATCTGGAGTCTCAGTTAGCGCGTGCGCACGTGCAGTGGGCCAGTTTTATATCTCAAGAACGGCTGGGCCGATTGCGCTCAAATTTGGTACGTTACTTTCATCGAGTATGAGAAGGGTAAATATGTGTAGGTTATTAGTAAGGTAGGGTATGGGTAGGTTAGGGTAGGGTAGGGTAGGGTGGGTTTGAGTTCGATAAAGGCAAACCATGAGAAAGGCTCTAACAACCCGCAACCAGCACCAGCATACCATGCCGTTCAAACAAATATCCAACTCCGACAAAATAAGACATATAAAAATCAAAAGTTCCCACACCCAAACTAATGCCCCCTCAAACGCATCTATCAAAACGCACAGTTTAGCGCAAAACATGCCATCTAGTACTTATTGAAGTTGACACTTCATAATTGACAATCATAGTTGACAATCATAAGAGCATTGGGTACATACCAGATACATTGAGTGACATTATCATAGTATGCTCGTTTTGGCAGACAACTCCCATGTGTTTACCGAGCACAAATAGAAAATAATGTGTTTGCGTAAATAATTTCTTGGCTAGACACAGAAGCTGGCAAAATCTTCGTCAGGGATTCGATAATGAACTTCGAGCTAAACCACTTTGAAAAAAAAACGAACTATAGTCCTGTATTGTGCGCCCTGTTTCACTAGTTTCGGGGAGAGAAGAGACTGTACATAGTGTTTACTTAACCCCTTCCCACTCGGTCATATATACATACACAATGTAGGTACTTTCAATTTAAAACTGCGAATTGCCCTGTAGGTAATGGCAATTAAATTGAACAATAACGCTAAACGACATTAACAATACTTCGATAATTGATGCTTCCGATTTTTAACATATTTTCGATTTTACCTATTTTGCTTGTCGTTTAAGTTTAAACCCGCGCGGCGCCCCACTGGGGGGGGGGGGGGCTATTCATAGCCCCTTCCCGTTTTTCTGCAATAACTTCCGAACCGCTTGACGTATCGACGCCAAACTTTCAGTACCTTCGGCTACATCAATTTGACACCTTGTGTCAAAATTTGAATTTCGTAGCTACCCTAGGTCGGCCGGAAATGACGTCAGAGTGACGTCATGTTCGGCCGATTTCGACGCAAAACATTGAACCACGGCAACCGCTCCCAAGGGCTTAGTTTTTAAGCTAGATCCAATTTCTTTGCATGAGAGGACTCAGAATAGACTGCGCTATCAAACTGGTATCTCGGATTTTCAAAATTTTGAAAATTTTGATAATTATTAATGATAAAATTTAAAATTTATTTTTTTTTAGAAAGGTTTTACTTTTTCGAAACAAAAACGGAATATATGTGATAGAACACATCCTTATGATTTACTCTAGCAAGTTTTAGCTAAACATCTTCAAAAATGGTCAAGTTATACGCATTAATGCAAAAAATTCACAATTATAAATTTTTCAAATCAATTTTTCAGTACGTATGACATCGAACACCAATATAAATAGCACCATCGTGTCCCTAAGCTCAAACTGCATCCGATACACTTTTGTGTTGAAAAGTTTTAATTTCGAAATTTGGCCTTTTTTACCTGAAAGTGACCCCACCTTAGTTAAATTCAACTCAAAATGACCTAAAATGACACGAACGACATCAAATTCGAAACATATGGGCTAAATGGACTATAAAACATGTGTCACGTGACCGACGCATGACACTATTTCCGTGACCTGTGATGACCTGACCGGTGACCCTGACCTGAAAATCAAAGTACAAGTTTGGTACCCTCAGGGTATCTAAAGCATCTGTTCACGAGTGTGTAAACCAAAAATCAGCCTGATCTGACTTGTGAGACGGCAGCCAGAGCCCAAAATGTGAACAAGCCAAAATGCTAATAATTTTTACTTTGACCTGACCTGTGACGTCATCGGTGACCTCGAGGTCAATGAAATTAGGTTTTGCTCGACATTTTTGTTTTTTCCGGGGCTATCGGACGCCGTTTAAATTTTGACGATCGGCTCAGTAGTTTCGGAATTAGGAGGGGGGCTATGAAGAGCCCTCCCCCAGTAGGACGATCAGACTCCTAACCTAAGTCTTTCTTCCGCAGGCTGACTGCACGCGGGGAGCCGCCCTTTCAAGACTGGCGCCGGTGTCCTCTACAGTGGAGACCATCGCGGCAGCATGTGTGAATCGGAGAAGAGCCGGTGGTGTCGCGCAACAGTCACTGGATGTGACTGATGGTGTCCGAGGGGGTAATCGGGGGGGAGGGGGCAGGTACACCTGCCCTCTCTCCTCATTACCCCCTCCCATGCTTGGGTGGTATGTTTGAGCCCAAGCACTGTATTGGGGGAGGGGTACAGGGTGGTCCCTGGTGGACCACTCTTGTCGGGGACGTTTGGGTTGGGGGGGGGGGGGTCAGTCACCAGGTGGTGGCTACCAGAAACTGTAGTCACCACCTGGCTGAACCCCCCCCCCCCAGCCCACACATCCCCGACACTGGTCGGGGGCGTGTGTGTGTGTGTGGGGGGTCAGCCACCTGACTGAGTCCCCCCCCCCCCCCAACCCGCACGTCCTGGACACCGGTCCGCCAGGGGTTCCCTGTTACCCTCTCCCCCACCCAGCAGCTGGGACGGGGTATGTGTCATGTGAAAGAAATAAACAACCGATGTATTCAAACATGTATTTTCCTCGTTTCGATGATCACCCTCCTCCCTCATTCCCCCCCCCCCCCCCCCCCAACACACATGGTAGGGGAAGGGACCACATGGGGACCCCTCCCCCATATGGGGGTAATCAGGTGAAGGCAGGCACACCTGCCTCCCCCAATTACCCCCCTACACATGGTAGGGGAGGGGGTGATGAGGGGGAAGGCAGGCACAACCGCCTTCCCCCAATTACCCCCTCCTTACACATGGTGGGGGAGGGGTAATCAGGTGAAGGCAGGCACACCTACCTTCCCCCCATTACCCCCCCCCCCCTACACATGGTAAGGGAGGGGGAGATGGTGGAAGGCAGGCACACCTACCTCCCCCGATTACCCCCTCCTTACACATGGTAAGGAGAGGGGGTGAGGGGGGAAGGCGGGCACACCTACCTCCCCCATGAGCACCCCTCTCCCCTTCCCCCTCCCCCTATTGAGGCGGTTCTTCTGTTCTCCGATTCACTCTTGCCGCGTCTTGTCTGAAGCTCTTCGCGTGCAAACGACCCGTGGAAGAAGAATAAAGAACTTCAGGAACGTATATTTGGCTATGGGAAGCAAGCATTTTCAAACACATACATACAGACGATGACACGACACGCGGAAAAAATGGGGATTTTGGCAGAGACTGACGACAAAGGACTAAAAGAGAACACTCGTTTGTAACAGTAATAAGGCTCTCGAAAAAGGAGGTTCTGATAGCTCCTTTGAAGCCCCTCCCATATAATGTAGCCGGCTTCGCGCTGAGCTCGATCGAGTCAATAGAGAGCACGTGGCGCGTGCCCAAAAAGTGCAAATTCGGGTTATATATTTGACATAAAAACGGGTTGCGAGCTCGGACGAAAACGACTGAATTTAGCCAGCATAGTGTTAACCCCCGAACCCCATGCTGGAGGGGGGGGGGGGGCTATTCATAGCCTCCCTCCTAAGTCCTAACTCTGAAACTACTGGGCCGATTGTCCAAATTCAAACGGTGTCCGATAGCCGAAAGCCTGGTGTGATAGCCCTGGTAAAACTGTTCAGCGAAGCCCAATTTCGTTGACCTCGAGATCACTGATGACGTCATAGATCAAGTCAAAATACAATTTAGGTATCAACGTTTTGGCTTGCTCACATTTTGGGCTTTGGCCGCCGGCTAACAAGTCGGATCAGGCTCATTTTTTGTTTACACACTCGTTAATATCTACCTAGGACACCTTGAGGGTACCAAACTTGTAATTCAAAATTTTCATGTCAAGGCCAGGTCATCCTAGGTAACGGAAATTTAATATCAGGCATCGGTCACGTGACACATGTTTTATGGTCCATTTCAGTCATAGACTTAGAGATGCATAGTCAGTCATAGATTCATAGAGCCCCCCCCCCCCCCCCCCCCCCCCCAGTGGCTCGCGGATTGAAATTAATGTAGGTACCGCCGCTCACCTAAGGTTTTTCGAAGATAGCGTAAAAACGGCGGCGCGCAGCGCCGCCAAATTTGGCACAGTCTATGGGGCAACGTTTTTACATATGACCTGAAAATTTCAGGTTCGGGTGACCTTGGGTCAGGTCACCAGGTCAGAAAAACCGGTACAAGGTCATGGTCAAATTTCAATTTTATTTTTGCACCTGTCCAACTCACAGTTTTGGACTGATTTCCTTCAAACTTTCAGGATATGCTAAGTTCACCGAGTTGTATAACATATATGTCGGGTTTTTTGAGGTCACTGACCTGAGGTCAGTCAGAGGTCATTACGTTGTAATGTTAAGCCTATGGGAAAATGCTAAATTCGGTAAATACTGGAGAAATCCGCTTCGTTCTATCACTTTTGTGCTTTGAAACCACAGTACTTAACAGCAGGTCACTTGGTGCTTCTTTGTTTGGTGTACTTATCCATGGGTCAGGTCAAATGAGGTCAACTGAGGTCAAATGACGTTTTTGCCAATAACTTGGCACATAATGACGCTAAAGCTTAAAAAATGGTGTCATTGTGTTCCTGGTAATCAGCCGAATCGAATGATATGCGATATGATACAATTTGGTTAACTTGAACTTAATTATTTAATTAAAGTTTACTTGATTATTAAGGAAAACTAAGGACAAAAAAATTCAGAATGGCAATATGGGGTAATTTGGCCGGGACTAGCGGGGCAACTTGGCCGGTGCGCTCATGGTCACTATGCAAGGACAGCCGAGCTTTCATGGTCAATTGTACCATAAATGATATGATTCATGACCAACTTTGACTACTTTGATGCCTTACTTCCGATTGGTCAACTGTAATAGCATGTGACGTCATCGAAGGTTACCAAACGTTTTTTGCTAATAAATCCTTACATAAAAATGTTACAGCCGCACAAATGGTCTCATGCTGTTCAGTTCGCCAAGGCGCATCGAATGATATGCATGATGACCTTGAAATCGCGTGACCTTGAGGTCAAGCGACCTGAGGTAACGTGACCTGAGGTTAACCTTTGACCTTGACTTCTCGAGGTCAACACATATATGTTTCGATGCGGACTGACGAGAGAATTACGATGGTACTCGAAGTTTTGGCCTAGCTTGATTACTTCAAAAGTTGTTCGTAAAAAACTGTCTTCGCATCCAGAGCCGCTAATTTGGCTATTTTGAGCCCTGTGACCCCTGAGTCAACCTCCAAAATGCGGCAAATGCGTCATAGGACACACGTCATTGCTGAACCTGAAGCTGACTCGCAAATATAACAGAAAATCCCAACCGCAAACTAACACCGGCCAAATTGCCCCACAACCCCGGCCAAATAACCCTGCTAGTGGGGCAATTTGGCCGCCTTGCAGACCTTTGTCATGCGTCACAATTTCAATATAAGTAATTACTGTATCATTTCAAGTTCACTGTCCAGTAAAGTAAAATGAATGCGACACCTGCCAGCGTTGAGAAAATGCAGAAATGTGTCGTCTATTTTAAGCTACATCGTTTTCTAAAAAAAAAACGGCCAAATTACCCCAACCTCCCCTATCCGTCTAGTAGTTTCGGAGATACGGGGGGGAAATGCCCCCCCCCCCCCACCGCGCGGAAGGTGGCCGGGAGGCCCACCGCCTGCCGGGTTAACCCGCGCCGGGCCGGTGCTCTGAGATTCCTCGCCGGGCCGGGGGGGGGTGTCTGAACACCCGGGGGGGGGGGTGTCTGAACACCCCCCCCCCCGTCAAACTCGGCTCCTGGGCCATGTAGCGACACGCGGTAAGCGGCAATCGAAAGAACGTCCAAAATAAGGACGAAAACACTTCGGTCATTTTTTGGTCAGGTCAAAGGTCAGGTCACCAGAGGTCACCAAAGGTAAAATGTTGACTATTTCAACATTTTGGAAACTGCCAACGGCTATCTCGGGAACCGATAGAGCTACAGCGCCGCGGAAAAGCGCATTCGATAGCCCTTTTACAGACCTTTCTGAGTAATGTTCTCAGATTTGACCTCAGGTCAACGGTTTAGCCTCCAGAGGGCAAAAACTCCAAAAATAGCCGTTTTTACGAAAAGTGGTTTTTTGGCAATAACTTTTGACTCAAAAGAGCCATGACATTACTTTTGCCAGGATCGTGTTCCTCTCGTCGAGACGCGTCGAATGAACTATAGTTTGACCTTGAAAGGTCAGCTTGAAAATTTGACCTCAGGTCAAGGTCATGACCTGACCGGAAAAGGTCATGTTGCATATCAGTCGATCCGCAACGTCGAGCCGAACACATCTAAGGCGTTTTCAGCGCTCTAGCACGCCTCTATCAGAAGTTATTAGCGAAAAACTGATAGATTCTGTTCGTGACCTGAGATGACCTCGGGGACATAACGAGGGGTCACAGTTGCCATTTTCCGGTTCAGTGTGTCAATTGTACCTATATCTCGATGTTTGAGAGTGTCTAGAATAGCGTTCGTGCAAAACAGACGCTTTTCAATTTTCTCCCATTGACTTATAATGGAGAGGCCGCAAAATTGACCTGACCTTAGGTCACCGATATCAAAATTCCGAGATCAACATTTTGTAGATGTAGTTGCTCTTATCAATCGCTGAAAGTTTCAAGGCAATCGATCAATCGGTGTAGCTATGACGAGCATTCCTATTTTTTTCTGAGGTGAGGTCACTTGGCGTGACCTGGTGACCTGACCTAAGGGCATCTGGGTCTGAAATTTTCACAACATGTGCGGAAAAGATGCACGAACAGGTGTGCCAAAAACGGCGGCGCTCCGCGCCGCCGTTTTTTAGATATCTGCGAAAAACCGCAGGGGGGGGGGGTGTGTGTTCAAACACCCCCCCGGCCCGGCGCGGGTTAAAGCCTGAAACAGACTCTTTCCGCAGTCAGGAAATCGCATGCGAGAGCCTATTCAAATACATGGAAGCACGCTCGCATCAATCGCACGCACCTCCTGCAAGCGATTGATGCGAGAAGAATTACAATGTATCTGAATAGGCTCTCGCATGCGATTTCCTGAACGCGGAAAGAGTCTGTTTCAGCCTTTTCACTCGCCGGCCGAGGGGGGGGGGCGGGTGCCGCCCCCCCCCCCATAGGATTTTTTTCGCGATAGCTCCGAACACGCTGGCGATAGAGAGCTGAAACCTGACATACCTGACCTTTGATTCAAGCCGGATCTTTTGACGTCAACCGCATTTTTAGGTCAGGTCAGGTCACTGACCTATGACGTCATAAGTGAACCTCTGCACAGCCTTCAGATGTCGCAACTTCGCAACGCCCTCACTGCCAGAGGAGATGTCACAGGGAAATGAAACTTGCAGGATCTAGTATCCGTTATGAGTCGCACAGCTTGTATATCTCGGATTTTTCCTTAAGGTCATATGAGGTCAGGTCATTTTCGTGACCTCACCAGTAGGCATAAGCCAATGGAGAAAAATGAAAACTGCTATTCTGGCGCCGGGAACGATCTCCAACTATCTCAAGCACACAGAATCGTGATTTGATGCACTCCTTGCAAGGTTAGATGACTCACTTTTGCAATGTTGACCTTGCGTGACGTTAT